GAAGGGCAGAACACTTAATGTAAAGAAATTGGTAAGATTGAAAGCCCAAGACTTATTTTAATAAAACGCCATCAAAAAGAGTAAGTGATGATTTACCTTATTCTTTGTGATTTTTTCTCACTGAAAATCTTTTTTTTGCATAATCTATAACCAATAGCATTCATTAAGCTTTCAGCTCTCGAACCCATTTATTGTTGTCACCCTTTAAAACAAAGGGTTACTATTTTTATGCGTAACAATCTCTTTCCAACCATATGTAGTTGACTCATCTTTCTTTGTTTCAACCCATTCTGGTGTTTATTACCGCCATTATCGATTCAATTATCAAATGATTGATCGAACTGTTTTTTTTAAAAAGCCATTACTGATTTTAATTGTTAACTGTGTTTTAGAAATGAAAATTTTGTTGTTCATAATTACATTGTTCCATGTTTTGTTTCCATTTTTTACCCATTTACCAGTTTTGCCTTTTGTTTGTAACTTTATAGCTTGTATTTTGGCGTCTAGTTCAAACACATCCATGTAACTAGTATTCCCTAACGCCTTAATTAAAATAGACTTCGATAATCATCATTATTTCCTAAGTAATTGATTCAACGTCAATCCCAAATTGTTTAGTTTTATAAATGTGATCAATCAATATGATAAATAATTTAGTTTACATCAACATTGTTTCTTGATGCCTTTTCTCAATCAATATTCCAATGGTCATTTATTTTCATTCTGGTAGTTGAATTATATTTGTAACAAATCTTCAACCCGTCAACACATACCGTCATCATTTATTCAATGTTCATCATGATAATTTATTCACTGTTATCAACTGCCTTCTCCTCGTCATCATCTGTGATCCTTGTTAACGTGATTTCTCATGCATTACTTTCCTATCCTGGAATCAATTTAAAAATCATTTATATTCAACTCCAATTAACTGAATAAGCTGTTACCTTATAACCCTATGCTTAATATAAAAGTGTTGAAAGATCAACGTTGAGCTTTCTTTTAATGATAAACCTCTGGAATGGATTCACTGCTAACCATGGTCAATGTGAAAAATATGCTGATGATTATGGTTATCCGTATTATCCATCCAATGAACAACAAATACTGCGACCAAGAATGCTCTTGAGAATCTCGAGAACCTTCCAAGTTTCCTGCTTTTTGTTGTTGCTCGGACAGTCCATTTACTTGAACTCATTATTTCTTTCAGCCTCAAAGTAAATAACAAATTGAACAAGAATGAACAGTGTGTAAACCTATCTAAATGATTAGTCCCTAGTCTAATGTTGACCCGAAAATAAAGCCTATCATTTCTAGTGTGAAATCTAATTTCAAACAGTTGAGCTTCTTTCATAGCATTTACTTCAATCTTATTCTCATCATTATCTATACTTTCATTTTCAATTCTCCTCATGCACCAAAATTACCCATTTTACATGTTCACTTTCCTCACAAACGAGAAATCAATTACCAACCCAAATCTAGAGATGATCAATATTCCCCTTCTTTTCCTTAATCATTGTTACCCTATTTTATTGTCATCTTTTCTTCCTTTCCAGGGAATGGAAATCTTATCCTTGGATTGAGCATTGGAACTTCAGTTTTCATTGTCCTTTCAGCAGCTCTGGTATGCTTAATTTACCGTCGACGAACCAACAACAACTCAGACCATCACACAACATTGCTTCTCCGTAAAGCGTCTAATGGCGAGAGACCGTTAAGTTTAAGAAGATCTACAGCCGTTAAAAGTCCTGGAGGATCGGCCACAGGGCCAACATTAAAGAAAAGTCCAAGTCCAACCGGATCCAAAAGTCCTCCAAGCAGAGGTTTGTCTCTCATCTTTCCCATTTCAACCCAAGTCCATCACAGTCATCAACATGTTTACAAAATTACTATCTAAACACTTCTTTAATGCGTACCAATTGAAGCCATTTTCCCACTTACCCATTGTTGTCAACTCAACCTTACCAACTCATGATTTTCAGCCAATATTGAAATATTTGAAGACCTCGAGTCTCAAGTGCTCTCTCAACACAATTGATCTTCCTCTTTATTGCTGTACTTGCCATTTCCTTTGCTCTTTCCTTCTTCGATCGATAATCAACTCTCATTTTTATACTAACCATCTTTCCACCCCTTCATCATCCTCATAAAATATTCCTACACTAGTTTCGTCTTCCAGTTGCAATTTAAAGTGATGAATGAAGTCATCAATGAGAGGCAAAAAAGTCTATATAATATCACACCTTTCCCACCACTACTGTTAATACCTGCTAATAAATCCACAACAAACACACAAAAAATCACTTTATTCCCATTCATCTTGTAATTCAGTGAAACATTAAGAAACTATTATTTTTCAACCCTTTTCCATTCATATTACCATCTAGAAGTGAAGCTTAGTTTTGAAGTAATTATTAAAGTCGATATGATTAGTAAACCAAATTTACTCAAGGGATGTTGTTAACTTTGACATTGATTACTGACTTTCATTTATACTCTTGTTGCTACTTTTTTCCCATTTCCTAATTCATTATCAAATATTCATTCATTTTTTTCCTCTCTTTTCCTATTTTTAACCAGAACAAGAGGAACGACTTGGTGAACGAAAATCTCTGATTGATAACAAGCTTTCCAAAGATTCATCATCAGATAGACTTAAAAAGTTATCCAATTCCATAATTGAAAAACCAGTTGCCATCGAGACTATAAGTGAGTCCAAGAACATCAAAGAATTAAATTATCATCATAATCAAAATCTAAATCAGCAAAATGAATACCAGGTAATACTTCAATGATCGTCAAAGTGGACAGTTGATTAACTTTGAATTTAATTTCTATTAGAACTCAATTGTGGAATCAAAAGGATCCATTGAAAGTAACAACAACAATATCGTCAGTGATGGTGAAGAGATGAAAAAATTGGGTAAACTTCATTTCAAGTTAAAATACAATTACGAGAAGCAAGCTCTTTGCATTGTAATTGGTAAAGCAACTGGTTTACCTTGCCATGACTCCAGTCATGGTGATCTTGATCCATATGTTAAATTACAATTATTACCAGACAAGCAACACAAGGTAAGAATCAACCCAATTTTAACCTTAAAGTGTTAAAATATCATTCAATGGGAAAAACGAGACGAATCTCATCAAAATTGAAACACTAACATCTTTTGAGTCCAGCAGTTTAATTATTCAATATTTAATCAATTTAATACAAAAGTAACAAACAAATTATTTATACCTTAATTGTCTGAAGCAAAACTGGTATAAAAAGAGTTTTGAATAAATCATTTCATCGCATCTTTTTTACCATCAACATACCTTTCAACATTTCCCTTTATACCTTTTGATCTCTTTTTAACCTAAATTTTCTTTACTTTTTTCATCTTTTCCATCATGATATTTCATCCATAATATCATTGTTATTTCTCATGTATATTTAACAAAATTATCCAAGAGATTCCTTAGATTCCTCAACATTTCATCTCCAGCCTCTCAGAAGCAATCAATAATTTAAGCATATAATTGTTGAAAAGCTTTCTCCAAAGGAGAATCTGCAAAATCACCTTTTCTCCAATTTTTTCATCATAAATTTCTGAATCAAAATTTCATGCTCATTACGAATATCTAATTTGATTTCAATTATTCCTCTTACTTTAGGAGATGTTCAAAAAAAGAGTTCAGACAATTTTCCCTATTCATCCAGATCCTCCTTTCCTCAAGATTGTTGAAACTACAAACAATTTTTATCAAGAAAATTTTCACTCCAACATTTATCATTCCTTAAAAAGCTTTTGTTTTCCTCTCAACATCTTTCAATAATTCATTTTAATCACTTTCATACAGTTAATACAGATTTCCCTCATTCTTAATCTCTTATTAACTGATGAAAATGTTGGTTGGAATTGTCATGAGATTTTGCAGATTCTAGACTTTTCACAATTTGTAGTTGGATGTTGATTTAATATTACATTCAATGTGATAACATTATAACTTTTATGATTTTTTTTATTTCTCAAATTAATGTGTAAAATCAAGTTAACCTTATTGAACCAGAATTATCATGAGAATCGTTAACCATCTCGATTCTTGATGTAAACATTTGATGAAAGATACAATGAAACAGATTAATTTGAGCTTTTAAATTGATCAAAATTGTGGTTCAAAGTAATTTAAATTGTTGAATAAATTTCATCGTAAACATTAACAATCCTTTGAAAATTAATGGCATAAATGTAAATACAAACTTGCCAGCCAAGTGAAAGCATAAAACCCAATCAAATTTGACAGGTGAAAATATTATCAAGTTAACTTTCAATATCATTTGAACCATGAATTGGTATATTACTTTGATGCCCTGCATTATCATTTTGATTATCATGATAATGGAAACACTGAATGGATACATTTTGTAAAATAATTGCAACAGAAAACCCAAAAAATAAATTATTCCAATTTTGATAAAGATAACAGTATTAACATTGATTAATCCTGTTAACTGTCATCTGTTCATTTCATGATCATGAACCAGCGTAAAATTGTTGCTACCAGACAATAAAAACATTTACAATGAAAAAGCTTATAATCTTAACCAGTTTCAACTGAAGCTTTTCAACATTTTAACCTTTTCCATCTCAACTGTTGTTGTTGTTTCCCAACAGTGTTTTTCATCCATTCAGAGGTAAATAATTTTGCGATAATAATGAGCTTCATGATTACAGTTGTGATAATGTTTACTGTGCATGAGGTGAAAGCAAGACAAGAAAGTAACTGAAGCAAAGCTAAACAACCAAAGATAATTTCATCAACTCACATAGGAATAATAATATTGAATAATAATCCATGATAATAATAACCTTAACCTTGGAGTATGAATCAAGACTTTTACCATGAAAGGGAAGAAACAAAAAAAAATGTTTTTCCATGTTTTCTTGCATTCTTTTTGTCCCATTTCAATTGTTAACCTGTTTATTATTGTATTATCATTACCCTTGTTTACTTGTTTATCTGTGTCCAATCCTTTCAATCCCTGATATAAAGATATTATTATGAATTAAGAAACAGTAATAATATCTTCTTTGGGTTTCTGTGTTTTCTAGTCATGATAATGTAATTTGATATTCAATCAAATGAATATGCTTTCAATGGTTTCACATCAACATTCAACAGCTTTACTCAATGAGAGTAAATTAAGGTCAACTTAATCAATTTGGTTCCATTTTAATCAATTGTTCTTGTTGTTTTTTTGGGTCAAACAATGAAATTAACATGTTTTTTTGGTTCAATCTCTTGTTGACATTTAAATTGAACCAATTTAACCTCAAATTGATTAACAGTTACAATTTTATGGAGACAGTTATTAATGTTTAATCAATCCATCAAACAGCTTGAATAGCGTTCAATGACGATTCTATTTTTGGGTTAACATCTTTGTAAATACATTTAATTTTCATTTAATCAATTGTTGTTTCAATTTGACAGTTGAACTTTTGTAAATGTATTTAAAATGTTATATTTTGGTCGTTTGTTAACCAACATTCATTTTGGGTTAACATACGAATGGGTTGTTAAGGGATGATCACTTTATAACCATCAAGTAAATTTGATTGACACTCAATGTTGTTGAACGTAATACAATCAGTTAAATTATTGATTTATCATGAAATGGAAATACCTTTTACTGTTAACTCTGTAATATTTGGTTAATGTGCGTTTCCATAATTGTCTCATCTTCAGACTCTTTTTGGTCAACCAGATAAACTGTAATAAGGTGATTGAGTCTATCAAAGAAACATCACGAAATGATCAAGTTATCATTTTGATTATTGATTCACCTTGACATTCAAATGTCTCAAGTGTGAACAAAGATTAATTGGATTGACCAGAAAAATTAGATTTATTCAAATTAACTTCTCAACAAACGGTTCCAACCAAGTTAAATGCATTTACTATCGTTGTCCAAATCAATGTATTTTTGGGTTCATCAACATCTGTATCTCAAGCTTGAGGCAAGGAAATGTTTAAAGGTTGACAATTTTTGGGCAAAAATTGAGTCGAAACGTGAATTTCAATTTTGACAATGATAGTCAATTCAAATTGAATGATAAGTTGACATTATGATGAGGTAAAATGGAACTGAATATCAAATGGAAAATGTGACATTTTGAATTTTATTTCAATTTATATTTTGTTTTTTCTGTTTAGGTGAAAACTCGGGTTCTCAAGAAGACCAATAACCCAATTTACGATGAAGAGTTCATATTTTACGAGATAACACCAGACATATTAGCGAAAACCTGCTTACACTTTGTTGTCCTCAGTTTTGACCGTTATTCAAGGGACGATGTAATCGGTGAAGTGTTTTACCAATTGGCTCATCTTCACTTCGATACACTTGAAAAGCAGATATCACTTGTTGAAGACATTTGTCCAAGGTCTATGAAGGTAAAGTATTAGTGACCACTTTATAGTTTACCCAAAATTACAACTCTAATCATGTTTAAAGATAATATTTGGCAGTCATTTTGTTCAATATTTGTTTGGATTCTTCAATTTCAACAATCATTGTTTCGCATTGAGTGTTTGTTCATATTTCCATGTCAATTGTATGTAATCAAAGATCTTAATACACTTGACTGTAACCAATTATCGTAACTTTAATGGAGATTTGATTATTTAGTGAAAAATGGCTTCATTTTGTTTTTCATTACAACTCAGCAAATAGTGATTCAGTATTATTCTGATTTCTTACTTTCTTGATAGTCTTTTCATATAAAGTCTGGAATTAATTTGTGTTTTTTTTGTTTTCACTGAATTAATCAGGGTTAACCTTTGAATTGAAATAAATGGAAAGATTGTTTACAATTGATTCGTTGAAAGTAAAGAAAAATTCGTTTTTTTAAGAAAATCTCATCTTTTTACATTTTAAGTCATTATTTTGATTGTTTGCTGGATCGATAGTATTATCATGTTGAATCTAATATTGATAATGTGAAACTGGACAATCAATTGTTGGTATGATGCTTTTGATTGAATTGAATTCACAAAACTTAGCAACCAGAACACGATTATTGTGTTTGAACATTGATATTGCATTCCTTAAGAAATGTCAATGTTAATAACAATCAGTAAATGTTGAACGTAATAAACTTTGTCCAGTTTATAGAGAAATATATTGAAGAATTCATGATTCAGGATTTGATGAGTGGAAAAATGTCTGAGTTTATCGTCAACAAGAATATCTTTCAACTTAATGAAAACCTTGAAAACGATGGAAACCGAATATTGATTATTTTAAAAACTGCTTACATTAAAAAAAGTGAATCCAAATTTGAAGATATACTTTTAGGGTTTACAAGCGGACCTCTGATCAGTCTTTAATGCTAGTTTGGCTTGACTTTGATTAGTCAAGCTTTAGAGGCTTTTCTTGGTGTAAGTCTTGTCCATGAAATTAATGTCAATATTGCTGTCTATCTTAATTATTTGTCATTAATGTAACGTTTATTGATTTTTTTTAGATTCGGTCTCAAGGAAGAGGTGAAATCCTTGTCTCTTTATGTTACCAACCGGCAGCGAATCGGTTAACCGTTGTTGTACTCAAAGCTCGCAATTTGCCTAAAATAGACATCAACCGATTGTGTGGTAAGTATTACATTTTAAGGATGAACTTGAGGTATAGTAAAGCAAAGAAAAGTGAAAAGTTCCAGATGTTGAGTTTCATGGTTGCTTTTTAGCTTGATTTAAAGTTAATTGCAATGTAAAGATTATACTTTTGATTAAATTTTAGTTGGAATGAGTTTACTGACTTATTAAGTTATGTATTATTAATTAGTTGTTTGCTAGAGTAAATTAAAATGTCAAAGAGGCAAAAAACAACTCAAGTTTGAATTATTGCTGTAAATACTGAATCATTCATTTACTGTTTTTACTTTTCTTCTGTTTGATTTATTTCTGATGATTTTTGATTCTAATTTTATTTGGTCTTTATTGCAGATCCATTTGTTAAAATTTACCTTCTCTTCAATGGACAAAGGATAGCCAAGAAAAAGACTCATGTGAAAAAGCACACAACCGATCCCGTTTTCAATGAAAGCTTTGTCTTTGATGTACCATCGACTGAAAATTTGGAATATTTGAGTCTCGAGTTTCTAGTTCTTGATTATGATCGTGAAACGAAAAATGAAGTAATTGGTAAACTTGAGATAGGATCCAATTCGGGACCAACTGCTCAGCGTCATTGGCAAGAAGTTGGTGCCTCACCAAGAAGACAAATTGCTGAATGGCACAATCTTCGAGAATAATGAATTGGTCTGATTAAAACGAACTAATTTGATGGAGAATCAGGCAAATCACAATGGAAGCAACAAATCATCATTAAATATTTCACCCCCGTAGAAACATAATCACATAAACATAGCCAATTCATCAGCCGTTAACACTAATAATCACCACCTTGAATATGTTCAGTTGATTCCATAATTGTTATCTATGGTGGACAAGCTAAAAGTACTTTAGATGTGATTGTAATTTGAAAAAGATCCTCATTTAAAGGGTTTATCTTTGCCATTACAAGTCATTAAATTGTATAAATTAATTGATCTCCTTTTTTCCAATATTCAATGCAACAATTTGATCAGTCAATTTACACTGTTGTTTATTAGATGGTTGACAAATTGTCCAATAGTTTGGTGGCAAAATTGAGAAACGATCCGTAATCTAGAATCCAAATTGTTCAGAATGATTTATGAAATTGATGCAGATTACAGTGATGTGAATTGTCATGCAATTATATCCAGAAAAAATAACGCAAAATCAAAATTAATATCATTGTTTTTATTTTACCGAACGATTTGGTTTGTCACAAGTTCATACCATTTAACAAAAAAAATCATTGCGTTTAATTTAAATGTATCATGTGCTTGTAAAATCTAATTTATATTGTGCCCTCAACATATAATTGATACCAATATATTGATAGTTAATTTAATTTTTTCTTGCTTTCTTTCTACCACCAAAAATATTTACAATTTGTCTTATTTTTCTTGTCCATTGATTCCCTTGATTCTTTCATTGCCTACTTCAAATCGCCTCAATCTCTTATACAAAATAAAAGCCACGAAAACGAAATATCTTTCCAAATAAATTGTCCAAGTAAATTATTTCAAGGCAAATGATTTAAATTTGCTACAGAAAATTATTTCAACAATTCAAAATTGCATGCAACGAAAACAAGTCTCCCGAGTCGTCAGATTCAAAACAGTTGCCTGAATCCTCAAAGATTTAATATTTCTATTTAGAGTTGGGCGATAACAATAAAATAACGATACTTGCTTTCACTTAACAAGACATTTAGTGTCAGTAGCTTATCGGAATTTAATGTAGGTTGGAATGAATGAGTTAACAGAATTTATTTAGATAAGAAAGGTAATAGTATTTAAATAACTGAAAGGGAATTTACAAAAGGGGATTTCATGGGATTCTTTCGTTAAATATCCGAAAGTGAGTCACATAAACCACATTTAAGTATCTTATTCGAATGGAACTTTAATAAGAAATACTAAATTTCAGTCTGATTTGGAGATGGATTTGATAACTTGTATAGTTGATAAACTTTGAATATGATAATTCGCCTGTTTTGATTAAAAAATACGAAATAAATAATGTACTATTAAGCACATTAGTCAGATGAGTAGCAGTCCTAAACGACACAAAAGACTGAAAATAAGAAAAAAATGTTAATAAATACATGTATAAGTAATTGTGCATCAAAATTAGAAGGAAAAAGATCAGATGTTACTTACATTGACAATTATAAGAACTCTTGCTTTCCTTTGCAGATTTGAATTCATTCTTTAACTGGAACTTTCAACATTTTTGCTTGATTAAGCCAATCAATTTTAATACTACACGGGTGTTGGATCCAAGGTTCACCATCAACTTGCATAGGAAGTTTATCGGTAAGCTTGATGAGCACCGTTTTGGCTCTTCCAATTCTAAGAGGCTCTGAAAGTCCAACCATTATTTGAGCAATATGGAAAGAAGAAGTTATGCCTAAAACTTCAATCAATTGGTCATCTATCTGCTGATCAGGAAAAGTGCTTTCTGAATTTCTACCTATGGACCAGATATCTTTTCCACCACCCCAGCTGGGTATATTTAAGACAACAATTGATTCTAGTTCAGGTAAATCTTGCTTAACTCCATCCAACTCTAAATATATTTTTTTCTCCAATTCACTACATTTACGTTCTAAAAGATCTTTAGTTCCGTAGCTAAAGTATAAAAATTTATTAAACAATCGACTGCCAAACCAACTGTAATATTTTGATTCTCTTGTTTGATGAAAATTTAGTGCCACCAAAGCATCAACTCCAATAGATAGATAATTATTCATGACTAGAGATTTATAAGTGAAGGAAAGACCAAATATTGGAGGGGATATTTTAACTGACCATCTATCTAATAGCACACATTTTGATTTCTCTAGACAATCCATTATAAATCTTAGTGGTGAATCGCAATTGAAACTTGCTCCCCAGCCAAGAACTTGAGCCAAGTCATTACCGGTTCCAAGAGGAATAATACCAACCATTGGAACAGGTGAGAGTTTCATTTTATCAATAGTCTGAAGAATCCAAGCAACTGTGCCATCACCAGCGGCAACAAGAATAACTGGCACAATATCTGGATGATTTTTCGATAAAACCTTACACCAATATAAGCCTTGTTCTGGTGATTCATTGGCTAGATCAATGACTTGACAACGATTGAGAACATAGCGAAAAGCTCGTAATACTTTGGCTCCATCATTGTTTCCACTTTTTCTATTACCGAATACTATCAGAGGTTGCCAATTTTCAGTTGGTTTAGTCGGATCGATGGAACAAATAACTTGACTTCGCCCTCGTAACCAGCGAGATTGACATTTAATGGATTCTGGTGGAATGATGTATTTACCATATTTTCCAGAGTCACAACGTGTATCAGAAATCTGATTGTAACATGATTCTGCTTCATGAACCGTCCGTTGACACCAACAACATCTGAAATCTTGGAGAACGTCTTCTTTTTCTTCAATATCATCACCACAAACAATACAAGAAGATTGAGAAGATATATTTCCTTGAACCCAATGATGGCGATGGAATGAAATATTATCATCAGCACGAGTGAAAGATAGTTTACATGGAATTTGAGTGTCAGCAGAATGATGACATGAACTACTGTCTGCACAAATACCACAATAATCACAGTATAATCCGTCAACAATTAAACCTTTGCAGATGTTACAAAATACCACATTGGAAACCATCATCGGTGGAAGTTGAAAGGAGACCCAATGATGACCCTTTGAAGCATCATAAATGGGAATTGTGATACTGTTACGGTAAATCTTTAGTAATTTCCATGCTAAAATGAAGGATAATGTTACGGATCCATAAATGAATAAATCATATCCAAGCGAATGGTAATTTGATCGGTGAATAGGATCCAGCTCATTGTTTGGGATACCTTCCGACGTTGAACCAACGTTCTCAATAATTGTAGAAATCAACATGAATTTGAAAGAATGGTAAATTTGTTTGATGGTTGATTTACGACGGCAATTTTTAAAGATTCTCATGATACCCATGATCATTCAGTTTAAATGATATCACAAAATCTGGAAGACATTTACAGCAAAAGTTGATTGATCCAGAGAGATCTCGAATAAAACAGAAACATTGAAACCCAAATAAGAATCAAATTTACTGCAGGTTAACAATCCTTGTTTCACAAATTGACAATTAATGTGAAGTCAGATGACAAACAGCCACTTTTATCAACAATCAGATCATTTGTAATTGATTTCCAATTAAAATGTCTGAATAGTATATTATAATGAAAAGATCGAACAATCAGTAAATATCAGTAAACAACAGGATTATTTTAAGTCTACAACCCATTATGCAAGTTCACTTACAAGTTAGTTAGACAAGTAGCATTCTTGAGAGAACACTTTCTGAGAAAAACACCTTTCCATCCAATCATGGCTTCTGTAAATTATTATAACTTTATACAAGAACAAAATCATTTTATTGATCCATTTTCTTGCTTCACAAATTAAAAATAAATATGATTCATGACAGAATCAAGATAAGGAATGAAAACAGTCAACATTCATTTTTAATAAACAACTAATGTTTACACTTGATCATGTGGTTGTGACTCTTAACTTAAGACTCTTAAGTTAAGAGTTACACACTGTAAGGGATTTTCACCTAATTGCGTATCAGCAGAAAGTTCAAGTCAAAACTGAGAAACTGAACTTCACTGAAAATCGTTGATAACCAATCTCTTAAACAAATTAAAAGCCACAAAAATGAAGTCTATTCTTTCCGAATATGTTATCAAATTAAATCACTTTGTCCATTTTTACTTGCTTTCAATCAACAAGACATTTAGTGTCATTGGCTTTATCGAAGCAAGCATAGATTCGGCTTCTCTGGTATGACGCTATACCTATGAAATAGGTTGCAATTGTGGTAATTATTGTAGGTACTATTGCATAAGTTATGACTTTGCTTGAAAAAATTTTGATTCCATAATTTTGGTTAAGACTCGCTTCCAGAAATAAATTTGCCTAAAATAATGATAAAACAAATGTTTATTGACAATCAAACAGAGACGAAAGCAAGGAACTTACCTCGTTCATACTCGGAGAGTCTGTACAAACTATTGAAAATGAATAAATTGTTTTCCAAAAATTTGCTGTGTAATTTGGTATTTCAGCCACACTATTGGTTATTACAATTAATCTGATCACATTAGCACAAGCTTCAGCTATGTGAAATATTTTGAATTCAGCACCAGTAAAGACAATGTCATAAACCATAGTAACCATCTTGGGAACACAAGTCAAGTAAAATGTACCAATAAACATTCTGTGTGATCTATCTGTTAAATCGGTTAATTGTCCTAAAAAATTGTACACATTTCGATAATAACAGATTATTTTGGGCCTAAGATGTTGTTTTGACAGACATAACTTCGTCTTGGAATAGTTAACCAATGAATCCAAAATGGACGACAAGGAGACAAAACCAGAATGGAGGAAAACACCGGTAATCAGAAGGTGGTTTACAATAAACAGTGAATATCCATATCCCAATACGTTGAACACTTTACTGATGTAAGTTAGATTCGATACTTTTTTCTGTTCAACCAAAGGGTCGTGGAACAGAAGAGCATAACATAAGATAAATTGAGACAGGGTTAGTATGGTGAAGTTCAATTTACAGTAAGTTAATTGTGACTCTATTTTGTGTGTAGTTGCATTAGAGAAAGGTAATGTTTTCCAGATTTCATCGAAAGCAGAGCTGAATAAGAAGGGATCAAATGTGAACCAATCGTGAAATATAAAGAGTTGATCTATGGTTGTAAATAAATTAAATAGAATCCGATTGTTGGTTTCGTCAAAAAAGTCATTTTTACCCATCAACTCGTTGATCAGAGTTCCTGTGTAAAGAATGGTCATGTAAATCTTTTCGCAAAGGCCAATCATTCCAATGAATTTAAAAACTTTCACGTAATCTGTTGATCGTTCAATTACAGAAAAAAATTGATTAGATTGGATATAATAGTCGTATAGACTAGCAGCTCCGTTAGATCTAATGGTGCTCATGTTAGGTTAAAAATTGTTATCCTCTTTACCAATGATTAAGTCTGAATAAGAAACTCGAAATTTGAGGCAAATAGTCAAGAGTCCAATTGTTTTCTTGGAAAAGTAATTTGGCTCTCAAATGGACCATTGTAGGTAAATTAAATTTGGTTGACATTTGATTTGATGGATGAGAGTTTGGTAAACAATTCGTAAGTTACAAAATTGAATAAAATTGAATGATTATAATCAATCTTCAAGTTGGACATCAAAATAAACATTTGCCAGTTTAGTCATAGCTCTTAAATACAATTTATTAATTATAACAAAAAATTGATTTGGTTTTATACAGATTCGGTTTCATTGCAATTTTTTATGCATCCTCAGCTTATCTTCGGCATTGAGATTTGGTAATATTTCATTGACTTTTCCGAGACCAACTAGTATTTTATTTTTGGCTAATACAAATGGGTAATTTTTGGATAAGACTTGAGCATCACTTAGTTTTATATTGCAATTGTACATATTGTCTACTTTACAGTAATCTAAAGCCTTAACGCGACAGAAACTGTGCGGTTGGTCAGAGTAAAGGTCTAATGGAAGGTTTTGGCCAAAACTTTCCTTGAAATAATCATCTGCAGAAGTTGGTGTGATCGAGCAATTAAAGTGGTCGTTAGCTTGGTATGATCCAGGATTTGTGATGACAACCCCTAAAGAGAAAAAAATACAAAATTAAAAGTTGAAATCAACAAAAAAAATGTGACATTACCTTTTGACAGCCATCTTCTTCTATTTCCTCGTAGCATTATTTTACATAAGGATCCAGCTTCAATTTTATCACATTCGGAGTCAAGAATTTCGGAGACACAAACATCAAACTCGCGTCCTTTTCCAAGAACGGTAAAATTTTGTCCAACAGAAAATGTACCTTTTTCAAGATATCCTAAGACAAAAGTATCGCTGCTGTCCAAGACTTTGGTTGTGATAACTTTCATGTACACTGGAGATACTGAATCACGTTTAGGAATTGGAAATTTGTCGATATAATCTATTAGTTGTTTGATTTGAGGTTGATCATCCGCATCGGGTTCCAAAAGACTTCCAGAAAATATGAGATCACTTTGGTATCCATATTGATTCAGTAGTTTCTTTATGGATTCATTTGTATGTACATTACCATCTAAAAATTTCAAATCTGACTTATTGAGGAATAGAACAATTTCTCTGAGATTGAAATGTCTAGCTAAGGCTAGTTCCTTCCTAATGATGTCCACTAATGAATCTTGATCACAAGAAACAACCAAAACTCCTAAGTCAGCGATAGTTAATCCTGTTATTCTTGGGTTGATTAAAATATCTCTACCAGGACAATCAATTAAAGTAACTTCAGAGTTCCCAGTGTTGATAGGTGCAAATGAAAGGTTGATAGTGGATCCTAAAAACATAATAATAATGCAGTTAAATAAATGAATAAACTAAATAAAATAGTTTGTCAAACTGGGAACTTAACTGTTAACTTACCTGTTTTCTTTTCATCTTCATTACTATCCAAAACATCAACTGGTATATACTGGGTTGAATTGATTTTGGATAGCGCCTTAGTCAGTGTAGAGCATAATAGAGTTTTGCCGGACTGATGATTTCCAAAAACACAAACATTTAAAAATCTGTTATTAGATGAATATCCAATCCTATCGGTTGAATAACAACATTTATTAAAAAATCTAGTTGACAATTTGAACTTAACAGATACAAAAATTGAACACATGTGGTTTACTTTCATTATGAAATTGTTATCACAGATTGTCAGCTTCTGATGAATATGATAATACAATGACAGTACTCTAGCATATTAATTTTGACTGAAAAGTTTAAAAACTTTAATTGTTTGATTATGAAAAGATTGACTGAAAAAGATTCAAGAAGCACTGAAAATTGAAAGTAACAGGAAGCATCATAGTTACTATGGAGACAATTTGCCATGTGTTCCGTTTAGTAAAATTTTTTCGCTGTTCTCATTCCGTTTTCAAATTCTCAATTTAATTCCTATTAAACATGGCAATTACTCAATTCTTGTTTAGCGATTTCAATGTCGGTATATTTACCGGTATCAGTGTTGGTCTGGCGATTAGCCTTTATTTTAGATCTAAACCGTAAGTAACGAAAATTTTATTTCTTTCATTATGTTTTAACATCTTCTCTATTTGCTCACAGATCTCCTCTAAGTTTTCTTGAAAATTTACGCCAAATCGTTATGGGAAGTAAACCAAAAAGTCCTGAAGGAGATGTTGAATATAAAATGGTTCTGGTTGTAAATCAAAAGCTCAAGATGGAAAAGGGTGTGATAGTTGGACAATGTGGTCATGCTGCTATCTCGGCTTTCACGAAGACTTTGATCAAAGATTCATCCAAAGCTGATTATTGGGCATCGCAAGGATCTAAAAAGATTGTTCTCAAAGGTACTGACGATGAGCATTTGGAAAACCTTGAGAAATTAGCCAGTGACGAAGGGCTAATAACAGGGTTGATTCGAGATTCTGAAAGATCGGCAGAAAAGCCAAATGGGTCAGTAACAGCTCTTGCTATAGGACCAGATCAAGCTACTGCAATCAACAAAATTGTTGGTGGCCTCAAATTGTATTGAGATGGATCAAAAACGAATATTCATTATTCTCTGTGACAAATTCGATTGTTAATCAATCAATTACTTTGTGGGTTTTCACTACGAGGGATTCAACTACTAATTTAATAAAACTAAAAGCCAATTCAAACAAACTTCTGTACGTGATTCATGCTTATAATTTTACGGACTTTCAAAGGAAATATGTTATTGAAACACCAAATTATAATCCATGATCATGTAGGCATTCGCGAGACTAATGGATAACGTTATTATATGAGTAGTTACGATCAAATGAGATATAACAATGTCGATCTTTATTTTATTATGACAAGACTTTAACGATTTTCCACATGGAAATCTTATCAAACAATCATTTAAGATCAATATTATGCATGCCAGTGATCAATTGTTTAAATTTAGTGGCACAGGCCTGACGGTTGGTCAGAAAAACACTGTTACAAAGACCATTCTTTGGGCTAAAATTTTCAGATACAAGAGTAATTATCTTTATCTGCTGATAAGGTTCAAGTCCATGTCTTCTTCCGAGTGATCTTAGATCAGCAATTATTTCTTCATGAGCTTTCTGGAGAGAAATAAAATTCAAAAAGAAGCTTACATAAGTAAAAGTGTTGAGTATAATCAAATCAAGTTCAAGTGCCATTGAAAGTAGTCATACCTGTTCCTTGCAAATATCATAATAAGTGCCTTTTAGGTTATTTTCCCGAGCCCATATTGTTAAATAATATTTTGTTGGGTTCACTATACCAACTAAAGGCCTATTCAATTCACCATGAAGATATAAATTATTGATAAATTGACTTTGGCTATAAATTGATTCAATCTTCCTCGGCGCAATCAGTTTTCCTCCGCTAAGTTTTACTACATCACAGGCGCGACCAATTATTTCCAAAGTTCCGTTCTGTTATTTAAATGAAATAAAGTTTACAATCAAAAGATCTCAACGTCTAGTTGGAATTGAACATTAGAATCATTCAGTAGTTCAATTTTCACTTACAGCTCGCCAAAAACCAATGTCACCAGTCGAATGCCAATCTTCTACTTTTTGATTATTTTGTTCATCAATCAAATACCCGGAAAATAAATTATCCCCTTGAACACAAATCTCAGCAGATAAATGAAGCTCTTGCAAGTTTTTGATTGAGATCAATTTGATTGATACATTGGGTAAAGGTGGTCCAACGTGCTCTATAAAATAATAACACAATACGAAATTAATTTTCACCCGTTTTTGCCCAATGTGTCAATTTGTGTAAATGTGTCTTTTTAGTAACAACAAAAGTAGTTAGTGTTGTGTCACTCTGTTGGATTGCTTTCTTATTGCAATGCCAATCATACCTGTTGATTCATCGTCAGGGAAAGACATTGTACATGGACCAGAAGTTTCCTTCAAACCATAACTTGAACAAACCTGCAACAAAATGAATGCTTATTAATGACATCGAGCTAAATGTTTACTGAAGATATCTTACAGTTGCTCCTAATGATAGCCTTATGAAGTTCATCAAATATCTTGGAAGATGCGACTTGGTTACAATAATCAATCGGAGGTTACCACCAAGTTTATTTCTGATCTTTGATAGTACAAATGCTTGCCATACAGATAAACGTTGTCGACCTGAGCATCTTCCAACAGTAGTTAGTGACCGCTTAACAAACCATTCAGCAATCAGATTGCCTTTCACTTTCAAAAACAACTTGTCATGAAGACTCTTTATTAAATATGGCAAAGTAACGAGAATAGTTGGCTTCAAACACTCCATGTCTTTCCATGCATGTTTAAATTCATTTTCAGAGAAACCTAATCGACCACCAGCCATCAAAACAGCTATCTGTTTACAATGTACAAATCTACATCAATATAACCAAGAAACTTGAAACAATGAAACTAAAACGCTTACCTGAACACATCTTTGGTTCATTTTAGTGATGGGCATGTAACAAAAAAGGATATCACATCGAGTAGGAGCATGTTTACCCTAATTGAATACATGAAATTTAGATTTAACTGTGAACCCATTAACTGAAGTTTAATTTGAATAACAACTCACCAATCTAATAGTAATGGCAATAGCGTTGGATAAAATGCTTCCATGGCTAAGGACAACTCCTTCAGCTTTATTAGTAAGACTATTGGGATGAATAATAAGCGCAACATCATTGGGTTTTGTTTTATCCTAGACATAATCAAACAAAAATTACCTCCGTAAATGATATGATGAAGGTAAAACAATTTAATATTACAGACAATATTGATAATTGAATGACAAACCTCAGGATGAATAGGATCTTCCTCTCCGATCTCAATAACCTGGTCAAGTGTTTTAACCGTTAACCCATAACCATTAGCTTTACTTCGGTAACTTTCCAAAATGTTTTCTATCACTACAATAAACTTTAAATTAGGAAGACACTCAGATTGACTGGTCAAAGCTTGAACTCGATCTGGTGTATCAACAATGACGCAGCCAATGTTCACTGGAAATTTAAAGTTAATGAAATGAATTTACTTTTTGTGTGATTAAAATAAAAAAAATTTCCTTACTTCGATTCAATAAAGGAGCATAATCTTTAGGACTTATGTTTTCATCTAAAGGCACAACAGTCAAGCCACCATAGTAACAACCATATTCAATTATTAAACAATCAGCTAAATGTTTGGTTGAAATCAAGCCAATTTTAAACTTAGATCCCGATAAAGTAGCCAAATGTCTCAAACCGAGACCGATTTTGACCACCTTTTCTGAAACTGAACTGTAAGAAAGCCAATTGTAGACACTATTGGATTCGTCTAGTTTGCCGATACATGGACCATCGCCTAAAGAAAATTGTAAAAGGGATTGAATCTCCGATCACTTTCTATCCACGAGTTATTCTGAAAGTATGGGAATGAAGCTTCACCAACTATCTAAATGGCTTACCTGAAACAGTTAGTCCCATTGATAAAACATCATTTAGAGTGTGAATTGATTTAGATTGACGAAATTGATTGTAAAGCTTTTGCTCGAAATCAGGAGCCTTTCTAATTGAGCTCTATCGGAAAATTTGACATTAGGATTGATTTTAATGTTTACATATGAAATCAATAAAAGTAAGCTTACCTCATAGCATTCAGATTGTTGAGTTAAATCAAGTGAACCCATAGATTAAACTCTAGACCTTTGTTAACATAAAGCTCAAAGATTTAAAATAATTTATCTTAGACATTGGATTTGATTGAAAATATGACAAATTGGCCTGAGTTGATTTAATTTACAATTCACAGGTTGGACCATTTATGAGAACGATATGTTATTATGAGGTTGAACCGGCTTAGAGGCTGCGCTTAATAGCCTTGAAAACTGAATTACTTCAGACAAAATTATCGATTTGTTTTGGTTTGTTCAATGATGTTTTCATCATTTACTTATAAATAGTATTATGAAGATTTATTACATCAAGCAAGTATCGATTATATCAAATATTGATGCAGCTTGAGCAAATCCTGAGTAGGTCTGAGTTGGTAAGAGATATAATGATGAATAATACAAACTTGGATAATTTATTTAAAGGCCAGTTTGATAACCCATTTAATAATATTCATTATAAAGAAATAATGATAATAATAATAAAGTATAATACAGAATTACATTGCAAAATCGAATCATTCAAAAATAGGAATCACACAGAGAATAAGCAGATTCAATTTAGATATGATAAGTTCATGTTTTTCATAACTTGAGATTGAGATTAAATTAGATTGTTCAATTGATGCATAAAAATTATTGATAGCACCAAAGTAAACAATTAGAGTACTTTAGCGATGGCAATGTTTGTTGTAATTGCATGTATTGCGAACAGAAGCATTTTTCCATCGGTCAAAGTTAACACGAATTTCAAGTCAAGTTTTCTGATTTTATTGCTGAGTTTAATCGACGAATTTCATTCTTTTTAATCTTTCATCGAGATCATCATTATTCCTCTTGGTTCCCCTTTCAATTTTACGCGATTCATCTTTGGCATTGGTCACAAACTTTTCATTAAATGAAGGATCACTGTTTTCAGTTTCAGTGAGAAGAGGGGTTTCCATGCAATTAGGGTCAAATTCATCAGCTGCCTCTGGTATGTCCATTAAGGTTTCCGTTGTGAATAACTTGATGCGTCTCACTTTGAAGTCAAAATTGGGTCCCATATCTTCGTACTCGATTTTAGCAACTTTACTACCCTTGTATTTGGTACAGATGCGAGAAGATTCAAATTTTGCACACTCGTCGACACAAGAAATTTTGACATTGTAGTCTACTTTAGAAAGTTTCGGACATTCACGCGTGTGTCCAGCGAATAATTCAACCAATATATCTCTGATCAATCTATAATCATCCCGTTCTTGGAAGACTGATCCATCAAATACCAAACAGAGTCGCGATCCTTGAGGAAGTTTGGGACCTTTGAAATGTTGCATTGAAAAGAAGTTGTCGATCCCTATTTCAACCATATCCTTCATCAATTGCTCTTCAGACAATCTACCAATAATGATATTATTTGGACGTTTTTTGTTATGAGATGAGAACATGAATAGTGAACATTCATTTTGTTGAGCTAATTCTAGAATCTTAGAGGCATCTTCAAATGGTTTGATGTCATATTTTCTGGAAAAAAAGAAAAGCATTAGATTGATTGATAAAACAAAAAATTTAACATAAACAGTTAAAAAGATTACTCACTCAGGAGGAAAAACAGAATAAGGCCTTTTTAATCGACTCTATTGTAAGGAATTAAAAGAAAAGATGATTAAGCACAAGGTTTTTAAAAAAAAGTCAAGTTGGGTCGAAGTCAAACCTACAAAATCTCTTAACAATAAATTTGTTAGCGTATTTGAATTGTTTCCTTTAACGAATAGCACTTTTTTGGGTTTTGTACAGCCAACATTGAGATCGCCATGTAAGCCTTGATTGACTGCCATGATAATAAACTTTGAATAAAAAAATTAAGAACAGCAAAAAAGCTCACACAAATTTCAAGTCAAATCACATGTTATGCTGTTTCTATAGTAACTACGATGCTTTCCCAGAAATTTTCTGGGTAAATATCGCACTAAAAAACCACAATACACCATAATAACCATGTAACCATAATAAACACAATCAGCCACAAAAACATTCATTTCAAACAGAAGACACTTCAAGAGCCCAATTCAATCTGAATCAATCCGTTTTTATTCGTTTTTTCAGCATTTCTGTTGAATTTTTATCGTTTTTAAGAGAATTTCCAGCTTTCTCTATTGCTTCTGATTGATCGAAAACATCGATTGATTCGTCAAAATTAACTTTACTTTTTACTGAATTTTCTTAATTTATAGTCAAATTCAAAACATTTTTCAAAATTTCGCTTAAAGCACGTTGATCAGTTCATGATACATTTGTCTTTTATCATTTAATATTATACTTAATGGATCTTGATCGTAAACTAATTCATTGGGTTGAATTGATTTTGACATCACCTTGATCATTTAAGAGCATTATAGAGTTTTGCCGGACTGATAATTTCCAAGCACACAAACATTAATTATCTGTTTATAGATACATATCAGTTGAATAGCCACAAAATTTAAAAAAATCAAGTTGACAATTTAAACGCAACAGATAAAAAATTGAACACATGTGGTTCACAATCATGATGGAATTGTTGTTTCAGATTGTCAGCTTCTGATAAATATTATAGCGTATTTACGGTACTCAGGCGTGTTTATTTTAAGGGAAAAGTTTAAAAACTTTAATTGTTAAATCATAAAGATTCACACAGGATAATAACAAGAAGCACATGAGAAAATTGGAAATGATAAACAGCATCATAGTTACTATAGAAACTACAATAAATTTGTTTTGACTTGAAATTTGTGTGAATTATTTCGTTTTTCATATTTTTGTTATTCAAAAGCTTATTTATCATGTCAGTTAATCAAGGATTATTTAGCGATTTTAATGTCGGTATTTTCACTGGTTTAAGTGTTGGTCTGGCAATTAGCTTTTATTTTAAATCTAGACCGTAAGTAATAAACATATTTTTTCAATATCTAAAAATATTGTCTCATTTTTCTGCACAGACTTTCATTTGGTTTAGCTGAAAATTTACGTCAAATCGTTATCGAGAGACAACCAAGGAGTCCTGATGGAACAGGCGAGTATAAAATGGTTCTGGTTGTAAATTCAAAATTGAAAATGGAAAAGGGTAAAACAGCTTCACAATGTTGTCATGCTGCCGTTTCAGTTTACACCAAGACTTTACTCAAAGAACCATCCAAAATTGACTTTTGGCTTGGTCAAGGATCTAAAAAGATTGCCCTCAAAGCTGTTGACGATGAGCATCTAGAAAAGATTCAGAAATTAGCTAATGCAAGTGGATTAATATCAACTTTAATCCGTGATCGTGGTTTGACACAAATTTCCCCTGGATCCAAAACAGTTCTTGGTATTGGACCAGATCAGGCATCATTAATTAACAAGGTTGTTGGTGACCTCAAATTGTATTAGTATCCTTTAACGTAATATTCATAGTTATTAATTAAATTAAATCTTTCTTTAATTGTTGCATTGATTTAAAAAATCTATTGACATCTGCTATTTTACTGTAAATGAAGGAATCGTTAGTTTTTTTCAAGAGTACTGTTTACTTTTGGCACTTTTGTGATGGTCCCTGCTTTTTCAAAATAAACCCGCCAACAGTTGTTTTTCTATCAAAAGTGTTCTATGTTTGTTTATATTAAATCAGTAAACCATTTTTATAATAATTCGTTTAATTTGAATCATGTCATGTTCTGATAAAGTTGTTAAAGTTGACTACCCAAAAAACAATTGGATCGAATGGTGTAAAAAGAAGGGTTTAAGTGACCATTTATGGAATAAATTTTCTTCCCGTAAAGTTGAAATCAAGCCAGAAGAATGTAAACCTTTACGCTCATTAAATGATAAAATTAAGGAAGAAGAACTTGCCCAATTTGGTGATTTTGGTGATATTTTTGATGAAGATTTAGATGAAGATGTGGATTACGAGAAATCTTGTGCCAAACCCAGTATAGGCTCTATCAAAATAGAGTCTCCGCCATCCGTTTATGTAACTCCAAAAGAAAATTTGTCAGTTTTAAATGGCTCTTCTTTTGAAAACTCATCTTCTGACAAGCCGAAATTTCAACCTCAATTCAATACACCGCATACATCTGGCTTCGTTAGTGCCTCACAAGTTGCTGCCAAGTTGCAGGAATCTTCTTCTCATAAATCAAATTATTCATTCGAACCTATCACTGCCCCAGCCAGTAATTTAAACTCTCCATTAAATAGCTTAAATGTTCCTGGTCCAAGTAATCGCTTCTATCCAAGTAATCGACCTGAACCTGATGAAATTGTTTTAGATGATGATGATGAAGATGAAGTTATCGAGGCTGCTGAAGGTGTTGGAGATGAGGAAGATTATGATGCCATGTTCGACGATGATTTAGAAGAAATTTTGGACAACGAATCTTTCTTGGTAGAAGTTCCTCATGATGAAACACCAATGCACACAAATTTCAATAACTTCAATAACTTCAATAATCTAACCAATAATGAGTCTATTCGAAGTGAATTCGATTCGAGTTATGCTGGTAACTCTTCTGCATACTTTGACAAAGATGTAAGCGTGATTCAGTATAATTTTAATGATGGTGTCGATGAAGTAGTGCAAACAGCTGGTACAAAATTCTTAGGTCACCATCGTAATGATGGTGATGATCCCAAATTAAAATCAGTTGCGTTGAAACATTCAGCTGAAATGTTGAGAGTTTTCAAGGAAATATTTGGTCTCAAAAAATTTCGAACCAATCAATTGGAAGCTATAAACGCTGCTTGTCAAGGCGAAGATTGCTTTATTCTTATGCCTACTGGTGGTGGTAAAAGTATCTGTTATCAACTGCCCGCTCTCATTGATCCAGGCGTGACCATAGTTATATCTCCGTTAAGGTCTCTAATTCAAGATCAAGTTACAAAATTGAACCTTTTAGATGTCCCAACGGAAGCCTTAACTGGCGATACAGAGGCTGAAAAAGTTCAAGAGATACTTAGAGACTTAAGAAGTGAGATACCAATTACCAAGCTTTTATATCTAACACCTGAAAAGATTAGTGCTTCAGAGACAATACAATCTATTTTCCGATCACTCAATTCCAAAGGATTGCTTTCAAGATTTGTTATCGACGAGGCTCATTGTGTTTCGCAATGGGGACACGATTTTCGCCCCGATTACAAGAAACTGTGTGAATTACGAATACAATTTCCTAATGTTCCAATAATGGCACTGACAGCAACTGCTACTCCCCGAGTTCGTGTTGACATTCTTCATCAATTGCGTATTGAAAAACCAAGATGGTTTATACAAAGTTTCAATCGTCCCAATTTAAAGTTTGAAGTTCTGCCTAAAAAGAAGGATACTGTCCAGGAAATTGCTTCTCTCATCAAGTCAAAATTTCCAAATAAAAGTGGCATTATTTATTGTTTATCTAGAGCTGAATGTGAAAATGTGGCACAGCAATTGATCAATAAAAGAATCAAAGCATCAGAATATCATGCTGGAATGGAAGACGAGAGAAGAGCCGATGTTCAAAACCAATGGATTAATAATAACATCAAAGTAATTTGTGCTACCATCGCCTTTGGAATGGGAATTGATAAACCAGATGTGCGTTTTGTTATTCATTATTCTCTGCCGAAATCAATTGAAGGCTACTATCAAGAATCTGGTCGAGCTGGTAGAGATGGTGATTTATCATACTGTTATTTATATTTTGCTCCTGCTGATAAACTGAGACTGTACCGCTTACTGGATAGAAGTGAGTTATTTTTGAAAAAAAAACAATTTATGTTAAATTCTAATCCAATTTTTCATTGAACTTCAGGTGAAGCTAAAGGAACGCCAATTCATAAGATTCATATTGAAAATGTCAATCTGATGACCTTTTATTGTTGCAATAAAGCGGAATGTCGAAGAGTTCAAATGTTGGCATATTTTGGAGAATTATTTGATGAAAAAGAATGTAAAAAGAACAAAGCAACTGCCTGTGATAATTGTTCAAGTCAAGTAAGATATTTATTTCTCAAGTACATTCATCAGATTTATACCTAACTTTATCTGTTTTCATAATTTTAGCAAAACTTCCAAGAAGAAGATATAACAGAGGATGCAAAAGCGATCGTAAAAAGTGTAGACACAATGAACCGAGGGCAACGCAGAAACTTCACTTTAAATCATTTAGCTGACGTTTACAAAGGTGAGAGAAATCTGAAATTTTTCGCTTTTTCTTACAAATCAGTTTTTTTTCATTCTACAGGTTCGAACAATAAACAAATCATGGGATTAAGACATAACGAGCTTCCAGCCCATGGAAAAGGAAAACGTTTATGTAAAGACGATATTGATCGAATTCTGAGAAAATTGGTTTGTGATAACTATCTTCGTGAAGATTTGGTTGTGTTACCAAAACAAGATATGGCAGCTATTTATGTTAGACCAGGAAAAGAAAGTGTTAAATTGTTAAATGGTTCTGTGAGGTACACAATTCCTTTGGCGAGAACTCAAGCTAAAGCTGATAATGAAAGAACTAAGGATAAAGAGTTGGCTGAGGACAAGGCATTGCGTCAATTATCTGATAGATGTTATGAAGCATTGGTCGAAGTATCGAAACAAATTGCCAACAGTACTAAAGCATTTGGAAATAAAACCGCTTACCATCACGTTATTCCACTTGAAGCTCTCCGTGAGATGTCAGTTAAATTACCATTAACTGAACAAGATATGCTTGCTATTCCTCATGTTTCTGGTCATTGGTATAGCAAATATGGTTTAAGATACTTAAATGTAACCCAAAGTTACAATGAATTGAAAAATGAAATTGAATTTAAGAAACTACAATCTGAATTACAAGCAAGCGCTAGTCAAGACAAACAATCAAATAGCGCTAAGCGCAAAAAAGCTGGAGGACCTTCAACAAGTTATGAGCCATTACCAGTGAAAAAGAAAGCGTTCAATGGTTGGTCTAACAAAAGTAATCAACCTAGAAAAGGTCCCTCTTCAACTTTATCTTCAAATACGGGTGAAAATAGGTTTCCTAATTCTAAATCATTCAACAAAAGTAATTCCTCTAATAAAAATAACTCTACTGCTAAAAGTAATGGTAAAAAAAATCCTTATATATTTTATTGATTCTTTACAGGTGATTAAAAGTCAATCGTTTCGCATCACAGTGCATCACAATTTTTCAGATCATTCAATGTTCATGCATTTTCACACCTTTTCATACTTTTCATCAAAATTTCAACTTTATTTATTTTCTCAATATTAAATCAATTACTTTGTACCATAGACATTAACTAAATCACATTATTTTTTAAATAAACAATCAGACAATATTCTGCTTGATTAATTAATTAAAGTTTCATAATAAATTAAATTTCATAAAATGAGCAATCTTGTTGGATTCATTATTTTTTAAAATGTGTATAACAATTGAAACAGCATTCAAGAACTACGGTATAAAGAAACATTGAAAGAATTCACTCACCAAAGTCCATCGAAATATCGACAATTCTTTATATCAGCTAATGTCCTAAGTCAATACTTCAATAATTTTCAAGAAGTTGGATGTTCTTTAGCACACTAATTACCGAAATCATTTGATGATTAATCCTGTTTGATGGATGGTTTCAACTATTTATTCCATATGAATGGTAGTAATATCTTGAGTTGGTTTTTATAATAGACTAGATGAAATACAGCTGATCTAATCTTATCAACATCATCATCAATTAATATGAAGCATTTATTTATCTCTCAGAAATTAAATGATTTTATTGAAAAAACAATTTAAAAACATTGAATCAAGCAATTGAACACTCTTTTCCACTTTTTTGCAATGCTTCCAGACATTGTTGTTGAGTCAATGAATCGTCAACTGTCAGTGTTACACTTCTTTCTGGAACGTTAGACTCAAGATTTAATAACTTATCTCCCAAAGATCGATCCAAACTACGCTTGATAGCATTGACACATCCTCCGCAGGTAATCTCAGCATTAAATTTGTAAACAGCCATTATTGGAAAAAGGCGAACTTTTAGCGAAGATTAAAAAGTAAACAAAAATTAATTATGTCATGAAATGTACGAGAAAGTAAAATGAAAACATGAAATGAAGCTGATTTTCCAACTAAAATTTAGTCAGACATTAAAGAGAGTCAGTAAAAAACTTACCTGATAATACAAGCCACAAGAAAAAGTAAAGAAATCAAAAGACAATAAACCCAGAAGTTCAAAATTCAATTTACTCAAACCAGAATTAAAGATGTAGTGCTTATGTTGGGTAATATAGACAGTAACTGTGGCAGAACCCCCCTAGTTATAAGTAACCGATTATTTAGTAGATATGGGTTTGCAGCGCCTAAACTTGAAAATTTGAAATTAATTTTCATCTCTTACTTTTTGAACAACCTTGTTAGATTCATTATTTTTAAAATGCTATTAACAATTGTAACACACCAGTCAGTGAATTATAAATAAATATTGAAAATAAATGAATTTATATCTCTAAACTCGGCAAAATTTATTGAAATAACGACTCTTTACATTAACTAATATACTAGGTCAATACTTAGATAACTTTTAGGAAGTTGAATGTTCTTTTGTTGACTCAGTGCCGAATTCAACTGGAGGCTGATCTTTATTGTTAGCTGGTTCAGACCTCTTATATCCCATGTGGATAGCAGCAACACCTTGAGTTAAATTTTTATAAGAGACCAGATGGAATCCAGCTGATCGAATCATATCTGCAAAATCTTTTTGATCAGGGAATTTCCTTATACTTTCAACAAGATATTGATACGAACGCCAGTCACCAGCAACAACTTCGCCCATCACTGGTATGATATTTAACGAATACAAATCATATAGATCAGCTATTACTGGAGTGCGAACCTTAGAAAACTCTAAACAAAGAAATATTCCACCAGGTTTGAGTACTCGATAGCTCTCTTGCAAAGCTGCATCTATGTTGACAACATTACGGATTCCGAACGAAATTGTATATGCATCGAACGAATTATCTGGAAAAGGTAATTTTTGAGCGTCACCATGTACCCATTCAATAAGTGAATCATCGTAACCATGTTTAACAGCTCGTTTTTTGCCAACTTCAAGCATATTCTCATTGATATCACAGACTGTAACCTTGTGACTTTTATCGTTTGGATATTTACATTTCATGTGATCAAGAAAACGAAAAGCTATGTCTCCAGTTCCACCAGCAACATCCAGTAAATGAGTTGACTTGAGTGGGTCCAATGTTTTGATGAAATAACATTTCCATAGACGATGGATACCTCCACTCATTAAATCATTCATTTTATCATAACTATCGGCAACATTTGAGAATACATTATGAACGAAGGCTTCTCCTTTATCTTTAGCCAAGTTACAATTAACAAGAGTCGTAGATAGTGATCGAGAGACACAGGGTACAAAATTTGATGACAACAATTTACCAGATGATCCAGTATTCTGGACAGCAAGTTGAACTAAAACTTTAGTGAAAGACATTTAGAGCCTCTTCAATGTTCTCCTTCAAATTGTACAAATTACCAAGATCACTTTTGATGAAATGATCTTTATCACAACCGTCTGGTTGCTTTAAACGCAATCGATAAACAATTTGTGGTTGATGAATATTCCGTATAGCTCGAGTGTTAGTAACAACTTCGAGTCTCCAGCTGATATCCTTATAACTGGCAGTTGAGTCACTAGATGAGTCGATGAGCTTGGTGATCGGTGCAGAACTAGAATCAGACATTACACACAAAAGCCAACGAGCAAAATCGAAAATAATATCTACTCATTAAAACCTGTCAAACAAAACTAATTAAACAAAAATCAAATTAAAGGCGTTTTGATTAACAAAATAACCCAATCTGATTTTTTATTTACAACTCTCACAGCTTTGGATGCCATCTTTTGTTACAATATCTTACCATAAACAGAACCGTGAAAAACAAATGAAAAAGCACATTAATCTCAATTTAAGCGTTTAAATCAACAGTTAATATTTAATTTAACCATCTGTTTAATCAAGACACTCATTAATTTGATTCAAATATAAATAAATAAAAATAGAAGCATTTAAAACATCAAAGATAATCTTTATTTAAGCAATAATCATAATTGGCAATTGTTGTCATTGATTAAAGATGAAAGTGTAAATTCAATAATGTTTAATGATTTACAGGTAATTTTGTATTCTCCAATTTCAAAGTCAAACTAAATTAACCATATTATTACAATCGTTGTCTAGTTAATTGTTATATTCATACATCTTTATCAAACTCAATTGGAATTGCATTGAGTGAAGGGAAACAAAACGAAAAAGGTAAACCTGCAGAATCCAATGAATCAGATGTAACATTAATCAAGTCTGTTAAGGTGAAATAACTATTTTAAAACATTATTTCTTCAACATTATTATCATTATCATTAATTATAACAATGAAAGATAATTTATTAACAAAAAAGGAAAACAAATTAACCGAAAAAAGTCCAAAATTAAACAACAGAAGAGGTAAAACTGGGCTTTGAATAAACAGTATGTGGCTCCATTCATTTAGCCATTTGTCCATCCAAATAGTTGAGATCTCTCTCTCTCTCATTGACCGACCATTGATAATGACCATTATTTATTTCATTTGAAAACTGAAAAAAGATTGTAATTTTGATTTTGAAGTTCATTTCATGTTGTAAAGTTCAGTAAAATTGTTTCAATAAAATTTCAATGAAACTGAAGGAAGGTGAGATTTTTGTTGTTTTTTGCTTTTCGTTATTTTTGCTGTTTACTTTTGTTGTTGCTGTTGGTAAAAGGTTGATGAAAACAAGATGAATGATGACAGTTGCTTTTAAATTAATTAATCAAGATTCATTGTTGATGTGTGTGTGTGTGTTAATTAAATTAATTATTATGTTCCATTGGATATCATATTGTTAGCAATTAAATCTTCATGGCAAACCTCCATGTAACTTGGATGACGAAGAACAGATTTAACCATATCTTTAAGCATGAAATATCTTGCTGGACCAGGATAGACCTTAGTTGCCATATAAGATACTTTGAGCTCATGGACCGTGTTTCGTAGATTGTTGTAGCGTTTCAATAAACGGTAAACATCATTAATCAATTGTTTATTTTCCTCCTCAATCTCAGGTATGCTCATTGCTGTAGGAAAACAAGAGAATCGCAAATTAAAATCAACAAACAATTTCGCTAAATCAAGTCGAGATTTAGTGTCAACAAAATACAACATTGTTTCAACAACAAATTGATTAAATTTGAAAAATAAACATTTAACCAAAACTGTATTCAACTCAATAAACTGGTTCAAATACCCAAATTTACCAGCAATGGGATGTTCAATCACAAAAAGATTACCTAAAAATCCTAAACAATCTTCTCAACAGTTTTGAATGGAAAACATGACTTTCATGAGTTCATTTTCAATCAAACCCATGAACTTTAAAAGCTAACTCAAGTGACATTTGCTCTTCATATTGCAATGGATAAGCGAAAGATCCTGGTTTATATGAATAAGGCCAATGACTTGTGTGATTGAATGAAAAGTGGTCAACATTGCTTTGAAATGCTTAGCATTTGTTTCGATTTATCCATTTTTTTGAAATTTATATCCGTTCTTAACAAAATGTTATTTAATAGGCTTTTCAGATCATCATGAAAAGGTAAACTTTGCTAATAGAAGAGATGAAAATATTGAAAATTTTGAACAGTTTTTTTCTCAATCAGATGTTGGCTTGATATTTGCCATTCATTAGTTTATTAGCTCATCAAATGTCACTTTTCCTGCAATGATGTTCCCCTGATTGTCACTGTCACTCATAAAGGTGTTAACATGTAAATTGTTTCATTCCCATAATTTGCATTTCAATTTGGCTGATAATTTGAAAATGATGAACAAGGTAAAGAAAACTGTTTTCATTGTCAATCTTTTTCTTGTTTGTTCACTTACATTTCAATCTTTCCCTATTAGACTGTATCCTAGTCTCTTCGGCTTGCCTGGCATTAGACGATTTACCGTCAATGGTTGCATTGGCCTTTTCTAGAACGGAGCAACATCGCATTACATAGTTACTTGGTTGTTCATGTTTCTCCTGTTTAGGTATTTCAATTAATATCCAATACTGAGTGTCCAATTTAATCACTGTTTTGATCATTTTCTGACATTCCCAGTGACACACAATACACACACAATTATATGATAACCCAAATGACAATTGAAGGCAAAGGCAAAAGAAGGTAAACATTTGTCCAAATCCAGGTTCGAGTTTAACAGCATTTTTAAAGGCGGAGATGAATCAGGAATGATGAAGGGAACCAGGGAAAAAAAGAAGAAGAAGAAGAAGAATTCAAGAGAAGATGAGAAGAAAAAAAGAAGATATGAAAAGATGAAACAAAAAGGTAAAGATATACATTAAAATGTAAGTTGAAATGTGAATAGATTCAACCATGCTCATGATGACATTCAGATTAATCGGGTGACAATCAGGACTATCAATCAATCAACCAGTTTCCCATGAAATTACCAAAATCTCGTCTTTTTTGTCTGACTCAACAATCTTACTTTTGCCCTCCTTTTCAAGTCCTACATTTACATTTACCTTTTTTTTTACAACTCAACCTACCAAAAGTATAACATTTATGATTATTTAATATGATGATGATGTTGGTGAAAAAAAGGGTCAAAATAACATGTTTCTCCTCCTATTTGGTTCCTTTCACCATTGAAGGGTAAAAAAACAGTTTCATGGAGAAATGGGTAGAATAAATATTCTGTTTGAATATTCAATTTGATGGTTGAAATTTGTTTGGTTGTTGGTGTTGCTTTCACTCTCCAGTAACTTGAATGTAAAGAGCAACAGAAGATGAGGAAAAAGATAAATAAATTTCAAACATGATGAGATACCAATGTAAAGGTATAATCACAAGGAACCAAGAAAAAAAAGGTTAAACTTAAAGTAACACAAAAGTGACTACAAAATTGGGTTAAACCAGATTGTAAAACAGTATTAATGTAAAATTGATGGGTAAACAGATTAACCCAAGTGAACCGATTGAATGTTTAAAATTAAACATTTGCTTTCAAGTAAACTTGCAACAAATTGTTAACAGATTTAAGTTCAATTTATGGTTAAGATTGAACCAGAAATATGAAAATACCGAAACTGTTGATCATTGATTTTGCATGAAACCCAAACTGAATGTAATCTTAAGACCAAATTTTCGAGCTTCTTCTCGACTCTATTTACCTTAAACAATTTGTATCGATTGTAAACTCCATTGTCTGCTTTAGCTGATTCATAATTTTGATGTAAACTAGTTAAAGCTCCTTTAATTGTTGAATAAGATTCATTTATTTTACTGTCAACCATTCGGAGTCGTTCATTTGTTGATGTAACACCATCCCTGGTGTGATCTGCAATAAAGGTTAATAAACTAATTAGTTTAACATTGATTTAGCCATTAGACTAAAAGGTTTACTAAAAAAGCGTAAATTGAATGAAACCGTTTTTTCTGGTCAAAAGTCTTCAAGATTTGACCAGATTGGGTTTGTTGTTTCAATTAAAAGTTGTAATTGAATTGAATTAAAAAATTAGGATTGAATTGTGTTGGTTAATCGTTAAATTAATGGGTTTGCAATTCATTAAACTTACCACTTTCAACATCTTGGACAAATTTTTTCACTGAAGTGGTAAACTTGCCAACCAAATTGGATCCTGTTCACCAGAAATAACAACCAGATATTAATAACCAGAAAAGGTTGACAATTAAATGTTCAATACTTGGCAATCAGATTAGTTGAATGAGACAAAATGACAATTGTAATGGCGAGATTAGGATTCAATTGGATTATGAGGAAAAATTTGGGTTCGTTTTTAATAAGCCTTTTGACATATTTTGTCAGCAAAATTTCAAGATAAATGAACAAATGAATTTAAAATGATAATGTGAATCAACTTTTAGCCTGGATTCACTTGATGATTGTTGATGTTTTTTAGCAATTTATTTGATAAGTTGAAAGAAAGGATCGCTTTGAAATGAAGGAGAAAAGTGTGGTTTTAATCGACAAACATTGAATTTTGATGATTCCATGAAAATGCTTAATGATCATTTACTACCTGTTTTGAATGAAATTTTTACCAATGAACCGATTCTCACTAAAATATGTTGTCCTCACTTGAGATTCCCAGAAAATTTGGCTTCATAGTTTAAGTATTATTATATTTTCAAGATCATTTCAAGAGTTTTGGAATTCAATTCAGGGATTTAATATAATCACAGCTATTGTTGTTGCAATGAGCAAAAAAACTGTAAATAAAAATAATTTGAAATAAAAGTTGAAAATTTTGTGCACAATTTTGCAAAATGCTGAAAAATGGCCAGAAAATCAACAGAAAATAACAGAAATTGAAACTTTCCAGGGTAAACAGACAAAATCAGATTCTTTCCATTTACAAATCAGGAAAATTTCAAGACCAATAAGTAAACCATATTTAGCAAGAATATTAAAAATTTCACCAAAAAACCCAAACGAAAAGAATCGCAAACAGAATCGAAAAATCAATTTTTAAAAATGAACTTTAAAATACTTTTCCTTTTCTTCTTCTCCTTCCATTTTAATGCAAAAAGCTTAATAAGTCTTAATTTCTTAATTGAATTAGCTTAATTAATCTATTTATATTTAACTCACAAGTCAGTTGTCAGTCTCTCTAAGTTACCTAGAAACAGAGTTATAATGGAACCAGAAAAAGCTGTCAAAGACTTTGAATTTTTTGGTGAATTTGATTTTGATTTTAAATTTCTGAAAATGATTTGAAGGCAGATCAGTTCGAATCGAGTCGAGTTTTTTTGACTTGTTCAATAGCAGGCCAAAGTGGAGACACTTCGGCACCAAGAGACAATAGCCATTGAAATCATGATCAATGATTATGAGAATAAGGAAATAATCATTCTGCAAACATCAAAAAGGTTGATCTTCTGAATGAAAGTCATACTTGATGGTCTCATCTGCAAACCAATGACAGAAGTCTAAAGTCGATATTTTTTCGACTTTAGAACCTTTTCTGAGCTGAAATTTACTTTTGAAATATGCCAATTAGAAGTTAATTTCAATAAATTTCTCTAATCGAATGGTATTGACCAGGCTTAACATGGACAATTTCACATTGAGCTTGTTTCAATTGAGTTTCTCTAGAAAGCTAATATTCTTATCCAATTAATATGAGAATGAATTTGGTCAATTAACTCTTGAAGTGGACAGTCAATAATTGTTAAAATGTTGGAAGACACTTTTATTGATTAATAAAGAGGATAAATAAAGAAACATTGTTGACAATTAACTGAGTTTTATAGCGTAAAGACTAATGAAAAAGGTCAATCTATTAAATATAAAGGCGAGTGTTGTCAATGGTCTATAACTGGTCTGAAAAGGTCAACTAATGATATTAATGGATTATTGTTGATGCTTTGTACTTGTTGATTACTTTTCAGTTTGTTCATGATTCATGAAGCTTATCAGGAAAAAAAAAGTTGGACAATCCAAAGTGAAAGGAATACAAAAAAAAGAGAAGGAACAAAAATTTTCATTTCTCAACATTCACTGGCCATTATTTGTGACCAGCAAAAATGTGATATAAATAAATAAATAAAAATGATTAAAGTATTAGATGCTTTTGTTGATCAACTTTTGGGTTATTGTCAAGCCAAAAAAATGAAAGACCATTTTTAATCTTAAGGGACACATTAAATGGTTTTCATGATGATTAAGATGATAATCAAAATGAATGAGAATGCCAATTGAGTTGGACGATAATCATTACCATTAAGATGATTATCATCATTAATGTGATCAACTGATCCCAAAACTGGTAGTTTAACCAGAAAATATTGAAATAAGGATTTACCTTTTTCTGGTTTAACCAGATGTTGGTACAAATGGTAAAAATGTTTTCAATACATTTCCAAGTTAATTTCAATCAACTGTTCTCAATTATTGATTTAAGGGAAATGTTACTTTTTAATGAAAAGGTTAATATAACAGGTTGGATTAGAAACAATTTAAAGTGTATTTCACGTAGGAATGTTAACTTGGAGTTGCTTGGAGTTGCTTGGAGGTTAACATTAGGAGAATCAAAGTTTTATGATTAACATGATGAGGATTGTGATGGTAATGATGATTATTATGGTGATGATGATTAGGTTGCTCAATGGGCAAAGTTAGGATTCTACTTTCACTTATCTTACATGAAAACAGAGACTAAAAGGTTCAGCTCAATGTACCATAGACAATATGGTTGTCAGCTGTAAATGGATGGTAAAGTAAATCAAGGCAAATAGTTAATGGAGAGGGACATTATTTATTGAGATGAAACTCAAACCACTGAACAAAACATGTTGGCCCAACATCACCACAAGATCCATTACAATGATATTTACTGGAGGTGAGTATGAAATATGACACTTTCCATGAAGAAAATGAGAAAAGGCTTGGAATCATTGTTTTGATGGCAAACGGTAACAACAACCAACGTCCAGTGTAAGTGGTAAACCTTTTGGACTGTGTTCACTTGATCAGTTTATGCTTCACTTATTGCACTTATTATAATCAAAATCATGATTATCTTTCACAATTAATTTAACTCCCAATAGAGTTGGTAATTGTTATTCAATTGTAATAGAAAGGGAATGAGGAAAAGAAGCCAATATTTTTGCAAGGAATGAGGAGGAAAAATTTTTCTGGTTAACTTGAAAATTATCATTTTTTCTCGCTCTTTTCTCGTTTTTTTTTACTCAGTTTAACTGTGATTTGATTAAAATGTTACTTTGAACAATTAAAATTGTTAAGTTGACACAAAATGTTCAACTATTGTGTTGAAAAAAGAGAAGCAAAAACAGGGAACAATAATGAATAATAATAATGCTAACAGTGATAGACATTGAAGTGGCAGGGAAGCAAAAGAGTAAAATTTAATTGTGAATTTTGCCTAAAAAATGTAAATTAATTTACATTTAAACATTTGAATAAAAGGTTGACTTGAATAAACGCAAAAGCATCAAAAAATTGGGTTTTGCCAACAGTAAAAATGAATAAACATTTAAACCAGAAAAGTGAACCAGTAAATGAACATTGAAAAACAATAGTTTTTTGTGTATCCATTCAGCCTTTACCCATTCTCAACCCAAAACCCTTCTTTCCCTTGCACCAACTCTTGGTTAATATCTTGCCATTATCAAACAAAAAAGTGATTAAACTTTTTTGCTAATTGTACTTGATCAAAGTAACAAAAAAAGTAATTAAACAGTTGCATTTTCAGGTTAACTTTGTAATACAAAAGGAACCAGGAAAAACAGAGACTCCAATTGCCCTTAGAGTATAATGTATTAATTAAACTGTAAATTGAAATGATTAAGCAAGCAAATTGTTGATGATTCAGTTAACAGTTGAATTGTTAAACTTTAATGACAACAACATTAACAGTAAACATCAATATGAACCCAAAAAAAGGCTGTTTACAAAGCAAAGTGAATGGGAGTGAAAAAGTAACCCAAAATGCTTGCCAATATCACAAGTTTTTTTCTGGTTCAACATTTGAAAATTTCTTGTTCTTCAATCTTATCATGAAGTGATGATGAATGAGTTGATAAATTGAGTTATAAATTGTTTCTAATTGAACAGTGAACATGTTTCATTATCATTACCTTTACAGTTGAATTGATATTTGAATAGGCAACAAGGAAAAGTTTAAAGGCACAAAGAGTTCTCATTGCATTATGATGATGATGATGGTGAAAGGAAAACAAATTTTCCGTGAAAAAAAGAGAGATTTCATTCTGAGCATTGAACATTTGTTTCTTTACTCTGTCAACCTTTGAATCACTTTATCAGGAATAATGTTGAAACTCAGAGGAAAGAAAAAAGTTGAATTTTTGAAAGACCGTAAAGAAAACCATTTTAAACATTTCAATTCAAGTTGAACAATGATGTGAACCTTTTTTTTTCTTGCCGAGCATTTGCTTCTAACTAACTTTGATTGTTAATCTGTTCATTGGAAGGTATAAAATTCCGAGTGAAAAACATGAAATTATTGTTGCTCAGAAAAAGATGACATTTACATGAACCTGAAATCATTGATTAATTCAGAAGGGGATAGAGAAAGGGAAAAGAGAAAATTTTCATTCTTTGAAAATTCTGCAAATTCTCGAGGTTTACACACTTTAACCAGCAACCTTTCATCTAATGAACAGACATTCAGCCAGATTAATCAGAACCAGGTTGAACCCTGTAAAAGTGTTGTTTAATTACAAAAGTGAAGAGTTGATTACGATTAGCAACCCAATCTCAATGTTATCCCCATTTCACTCTTGATTAATGTCTTCTTATTTCGCTTGTTTTATCCCTTTCCCAGGTAATTTCAATCTAAATCAGGATAACATTCATGTCCAACATTTATCATAATTGAAAGGCTGAAATTGATAGATGAAAGCGTTTACTTCATTTCAATTGTAACACAAGCATGAAACCCACTAAATTGACTCGACAACATTGTACCTTGAAGCAATTTATTATGAATATATTTACTTTGATTGTTATTCATTATTAAAGTAATGTAACCAATTGAAGGTGAAATGTAAAGTTACAAATTTAGAGACAAAAAAGTGTCTGAAAAACAGTCAAGTTTCATTGATTAACCAGTTTCAATCGATTTCATTTTCCAAT